TTTATTGAAACTGGTTTGTCATTTGATGCAGATATGGCAGGAGTTTGAAATCTCTGCCAATCTGCCTTTTCTATCAGGAATTTTGGATGAGGTTTGACTTGATACCAATTAGGAAGGGTCATGGTTGTTAGGAGTGGGAAATGATAGATGCTGAGGCAAGGATAATATCAGGATGAGTAAAGGTTTTATGGATAGAAAATGCGTGGGTAAACCATCATTTAGAACAATAAGGGTATGGGAAAGGATAACGTCTTCAATAATTTTACCTCTTTTATTAACACAATTGGAGCCCCACAATGGGTTCCACGCATTAAAATCTCCTAGGATTATGATGGGAGTGGAGAATGTATTACACAAATCAATTATATCTTTATTGTTAAATTTTTGGTTGGGTGGGATAACTAATGTTTTTTTTTCTCAACATCGATTTCAATTGCTAAACAGGAAATATTTGGTGTAACAGGGACTAGTTTATGATTTATGGATTTTTTTATAAAAAAAAAGCGATTCCCTATTTGCAGGCGCCAATAGAGGGTTTATTATGAAAAACACTATGATATTTATTGGGTGAGTATGCTGTTTTGTTGAATGGAATATGCGTTTCTTGTAACGCAATAATTTCAGGGTTAAATTCATTTATTGGAATATTAAAATCTACGTGATTATTCAAAAGTCCGTTTATTATATTCCATTGACGTATTTGTATCATTGTGGGGTTGTATCAGAGGGGTGGGGTAGAATGGAAGAAAGAGGGATACCAGTGGAAAGGTGAGAAATTAGGGAAGAAATTAAGGTGTTTGTGTTTTGTGAGTCAATAAAGTTTTCGGTGTTATAATTATATTCCTGTATGTTATTGTTTGCAGAGTTATTGTAATTGTTGTTTGCGTTGTTGTTGTCAAAAGAGTTATTAATGCCTTTTGTTGGAGTGGGGGCTGGTAGGGTTTGCATTGTATTTGTTGTATTTTATTTATTTTGTTTTGGTGCGTCGTTTGTCACTTGGATTTCTGTGTTGTTGTTGTTAACTAATGCTTGGTTTGCTTTTGAATTATTTGTGTTTGTGTTGATATTGTTACGTTGTGAATTGGGTATATTTTTTATAATATGAGAAAAAGGGATCGAAAACTCATTGAGAGCTGGGGGCACCTGTGCTTTGTATGTTGTTAATACTTCACGCATAGTACATTTTTTGTCTGTTTTAATGACAATTATTTGTTTCACAGTCATCGACTAACTCTCTTGCAGATTAGACGTTTGTTTTTGCGCGTACGGAGTTTTTTCATTTCGTTCTTTCTCAGCTCCGCTTTTCTCTTTTTTTT